AGCGACAAAATCTATACAATTCACCTTAACGTCGGTTGGACGATCTGGGCGACCTACGTTAATCAACAAGTTAAGACAAGAAAGTTTTTTCACAAAAAGCAGACCTCTTCATATCATACAAGATTGAGCTCGAGGCCACCTCGGAAGAGATGACGACAAGGAAAAAGAAACGACCGATTATTTCATCAAGAATTCCAAGACAGATTAAATTTACTTAGGCTATACAGAAGAGTTCCCAATACCAAATTTGTGTCATATGTGAAGTCAAATCCTTATATGGTTTTTAATGAATACCAGATTCATGAAGATTTTAGTCCGATTTATTGTGTATTAAGTTGTCACACTCTAAAAAAAATTAAATTATGGTAATTTCTCACCGAAGTACAATAGTAATTGGCTCAATGTCAGGCCAACCCAGTTTGGAAACGCCATAGTAAGCTGAGTGAGGTTTATCAAGGAAGACAGGAATAAATGAAAATGAAATGGTTTCGAAAATAGCAGGTCTTGCTTGTCTTGTGCTGAGAATTTACGTCTGTCTTGCCATAGAAACTTTAGGCCGTGCTCAAAAAATGATAGAGCAGCACTTCATAAGGTTCGTCTAGCTAGGGCCTAGATAAAACCAACCATAAGCTCAATTCCAAAATAAAATAAACTATTATTTACGGTAAAAGTATACAGATTAAAAATATTAGTTTAAGATACATCTGTAGCCGATGATTTTATCCTCTGAAATATTCTTCTTCGTTTTTCAAAATAGTCAATAAAAACCATTAATTTCAACTAATTGCCCGGACTACTCACTTTGGCTACTAATGCTCTTTCAATTAGAAATCGCATTGTACATTATTAATGAAAATACGACAAAATTTAAGATGCGAATGCTAGTATAAGAGTGGTTTTGCCTTTAATACTTGATTAAATGCGACAATCGAATGCGTTTTCACTAGTATCAGACCTATCTGATGGACATTTACTTTAAGGTCTCACGGTTAAAACGTTACCAACTGTTGAAAAGCACCTTGAACTAAAAGTGAAGCCGTGGCAGCTGCCCAGTCGATGCCGTTCGTCGCGTTGCAGCGGTACTGTCCAGTGTCTCTAGGTTGAGCCCCGCCAACCACTAATGAATAGTCGAACCAATTTGCCTGAATGCGAGGCGTTCTGTGCGGATCAATGAGGTTTTCATCCTTGAACCAGATGATCTTTAGATTTTCCAATTCCATGGGATCAGTGTCTGCTGTGCAAACGAACTTGACGACCTGATCCTCATAGACACGAGTGTCTATCGGTGGCAACGTGATGACAGTTCTCCGACGAACGACAAGCTCCCCAGAAGCTTTTGTCGATCCGAACGGATTTTTTGCAGTACATTCGAAGATGCCAGAATCTGCGATAGATGCTGACTATATGACGAGACAAAAAACAGGTGATATGCGAAATTAAAAAGCATATTCCCTTGGGAGTTCACGCCAAAAGTGATCACTACAAAATAAAGTAGTACCATTAAATGAATGAATATCGAAAATGTGAGAAGTAATTCGATAGTCTG